ATTTTAGTGCATCACCAATCAATGGAAGTCAAAATCAGAATTCGTTTGTAACATTAAGAAGTACAGTGGATTGATCACGAAAGAGAAAACTTCCACAGGGAAAAAAATAATAATAAAATATCTCAGAGATCTGGCCAAGTTAAAAAAGAATGTTAACTATGGCTCTAAAGAAGAAAAAAATCATAAAGTATTTTTGTACCAGCATATAGAGGTCTGTAATGAATTTCATCTCTATGGGAGCAGCACTGCCTGAGGTAAATTAAAGTGGATGAACAAGGAAACATTTCAAACTTGAAACCTCAGACCTGAGGAACAACAACCCCAAAATAATCTACCAAGAAAATAACTAAAATGAGCAAAATATAATTCACAATTGTCTAAAGAAAAAAAAATCCAGGGTGAGTAATGGAAACAAAATTAAAATGAGAAGGGGAGAGAAGGAGAGGAATGAGGAGAGGAAATAACAGAGAAAAGAAAAGGAGAGGAGAGGAATGAGGAGAGGAAAGAATGAAAAGAGAAAGGAGGAAAATGAAAAAAAAAAAGCAGGACACAGGCCCACACAAAGCTGTGGTGGGATTTCACAGCTTCAACAGTGGTCATCATGCTGTCCACATCAGATTTTCTTCAACCCTGTAGAGATGCTGTCCATTATTACCTAACCAGGAAGGACATATAATATATCATTTTAACCCTAGATGGCGCTAAACTCAAGCCCCCGGCCAATTGATTTCCTAAAGAGTTTGAACACTGGCTTATCTAAGTACTTCTTCAAAGGTTGCAAAACTTCTGCCACTCACTAGAACCGGGCTGTCTACATACTTCCAGCTCACCTCTCCCTCCAGTTGACTGAGTTTATTCAGACAATACTGCTTAGAATGTCCTGGTGAAAATGTTTCCTCCGGCAGTCCCTTAGGGCCCCTCTTGCTTCTAAAGAATTGAAATGTATCACAAACCCCAGTATCCAAGTACAATAACACCTTATATTTATCTCTTTTTCAAAGATATAATTAATTTTCATTTTAACTTGGTTTCATAGGGATAATCATATTTGTTTGGGGAAAATAGGAGGGAAACACAGAATGAGGTTTAAGTCAGCACAATCTAGGGAAGATTTTAAGCTCTTAATTACCACCACCACCCCCAACCCCATGCACACACACTGATGATTCCAGTCTTTCATCTTTTGCCCTTACAGTAAGTCATTCAAAAACATTGGGTAGTAGTAAGATCCTGGGAGAGAAACCTGGACTCCTGGTTTCTAGTCTCAGTTCTTCAGTGATCAGCTATGTGATTCCAAACACATAATTTAGTATCTCTTGGATTGAATTGTGCTCTCTTGAGTGTTTTATAAATTGTTTTTATTAGTTATTTGTTAAAAACTCTTTGAGGACCTGGCATGGTGGAGCATGCTTGTAATCCTTGCTTTGGGGGAGGCTGAGTTAGCTATTGGGGGTGACTGACTGAGCTCAAGAATTCTGAGCCTGGTGGCCCTCCATCCTGGGAAACTCACCATTTAGGTGCGGGACTTTGTGAGGACACCAAACTGACTTTATTACCCCTCACAAAGTCCAGCGCCTAAATGGTGAGTTTCCCAGGATGGAGGGCCACCAGGTTGCCTAAGGAGAGGAAAACTCACTCAGGTTGGGCAAAAAGAACCGCGTAAAGTTGCTTAAAGCCAATTAGAATCAGGATCGGTCCATGACTGCCTATTGAACTCCCAGATCCGGTGAGAGAGGCAGACCTAGTCTCAAGAACAAAGCAAAAACCCATAAGGGAAATTGAAGTAAATATTGCGAATTCAAAGGCAGAGCCAGAGATAGGTTTATGCAATGAAAATTATCGTGTAATATGTACTATAATATAATATAAATTACCTGCTGCTCTACTATATAGTAGAAAAAGAGCCTTGGCTAGTTGCTGAAAGACTTGTGTTCGTTTCAGTTCTTTCTCTCACTCGTTGTAGGACCCTCGACAAGTTATTTAACTTATTGGAATCAGCTCTCAAATGAGAGAGCTGGACAAAGTGACCTCCAAGGTCCTTTCCAATGTTTTTTCTCTTTCTTTTAAAATTTATCTTATTTTTAACTTATGCAATAAAGCAAGCATTTCCATAACACAATACAACATCAACAAAAGGTGATTGCACATGAAACTTCAAGTCCATTATGCACAACTTCTTATTTCTCAATGTGTGTGTGTGTGTGCACATGTGTGTGTATACTTTCCCATTTTCATAATCTATAATTATATGTTAATTTTTCTAGGGAATATCAGTCTCCACCTCCCTCCCATGGCAGAGTGGTCCTCAATGGGGACTGAATGCTTTCCCTAGCAAATACAGGGAGCAGCTACCTAGGAAATTTCATTTTTTTCTGAAAAAACTTTGCTTCAAGTCCACTGCCATGTCAAGGGGAAGGTGTGTTTCCAGAGTAGTTCTGCCAGTCTTTCCCTGGGGTGATGAAAAGATCCCAGAAGAGGTGGCAATCAAGAGAACTGGGCTCTAATCCCAACTGCTACATGAGATGCAAGGCAAATCATTTCCCCATTCTGAGCTTCAGTTTCCACTTTGGTAAAATAAAAGTTTGGATTAGGTCGTCTCTAAAGTCCCTCCCACTCCACTTATTCTATGATGCTAGAACCTTTAGCAGTTCATTTCTCTTTTCTTCACTTTGGTTCCTTCCTTTGTAAAAGAATTAGGTTAGAAAATGCTTGAGGTCCTTTCCAGCGCTAAAGTTTATTGAGTCAAGTGATGGATGGTGTATCATCTTTTCTCTATGAAAATGCTGCTACTGATTTACAGTGAATGAAAGGCCTTGACTTTTTTTTTTCCTAACAAAGATAATGGTCGGTATGAACACCATAACATTTTTTGTCAAGATGAATGACTGGGCTTAGTGCAGGAGGACAGAGAAAACTTGATAGATGGCCCTTCCCTTCCTTTCTGGTCTTCTAATACCTTATTCCACATGCTGTGAGATAGTGGCAATGGCCTCTTTGCTGTTCTTCCTTGCATTTCTCTACTCTGGACATTTTCACTGATTGTCTTCACTGCCTAGAATCTTTCCTTCTTCGACTCCACCTTCTGACTTTCTTTAGGTCCCAGTTAAAGTCTACTTGTCACCGGAAGCTTTTTCTAATCCCTCTTAATTCTTGTGTTTTCCCTTTGGTGATTATTTCAGATTTCTTCTGCCTATAGTTTGTTTGCACATGGTTGTTTGCCTCCTGCCCTCCCCCGCTCCATTTCACAGTGAGCTTCTTGAGAGCAGAGACTGTTTGGTTTGGTTTGGTTTGGTTTTTGCCTTTTTTGGGTATTCTTATCACTTAGCACAGTGCTTGGCACATAACAGGCACTTAATGAATAAATGGTGGTTGACTTGATCCAAACTGAAAATACAATCTTGAATTCAGAAGCCAATTGTCCCAACCATGAGAAATATCCAGACTGAGTCTTTTTGTTACATCCCAGAGCATCAAGGGAAGGAAGAGGTCAGAGTCAAGAAGAACTTCCTTCTATCTACCAGAAAAAATGCAAAGGAAACTAGTACAAGGAGAAGGATTCGAATTTGTCTTTCCCTGATGGGACAAAAGTATCTTCTCTCACTTCCTCCCCTTTTCATACAATAAGATTGTGTTGTATGGCCAGCCATGGGATAAGTTTGAGTGTCAGAGTTAGGCTTCATCTGGGGAAGGATTCCCTCCACTCCTCATTGGAAAGGAAGAATTTTATAGTGCCTCTTGATTTAGGGATCTGAGCATTCGGAACTGGCCACTTATAAGAGGCCAAAGGTTATAATTGGTGAGGAGGAAGAGGAAGAGGAGGAGGAGGAGGAGGAGGAGGAAAGAAGAAGAAGAAGAAGAAGAAGAAGAAGAAGAAGAAGAAGGAGGAGGAGGAGGAGGAGGAGGAGGAAGAAGAAGAAGAAGAAGAGGAGGAGGAGGAGGAGAAAGAAGAAGAAGAAGAGGAGGAGGAGGAGGAAGAAGAAGAAGAAGAGATTAGACTAAATAAAGACTAGAAATGAGGAAATCCAGAGTCTAGATCTGTGTGGATTTAGACAAATTATCTCACTTTCCTGTGCCTCAATTTCCTCATCCTCAAATAACAGTATTGGACTAGGTTGTCCGTCATTCCTTTCAGTTCTAAGATGTCGTAGCACTCCCTATATTTATACACATTTCCACTTCTTTCTTCTTTTGGAGGTTGAGGTTGTTTCTTCCCATTTTGACTCATAACATTGGCTTCTATTGCTTAGGTTGAGTAAATTTGTGCAATTGGAAGCTGTAGCATAGAGACAAATCCCTAGAATACATTCATGATTTGAAGAAAAGTTAATGCATTCAGTAAATCTGCATGACCAATTATAATTCCTGCTACACGTGGGGATTGCATAAATTTAGGAGTAGTTTTCTATGAATAAAGATGAGTCTTTCTTGATTAGATCTTATCAGAGTTGAGTTTGGGCATATTCTTCATTTCTGTCTTTATTGATAGAAGAGGCCATATGGTCTGGTTAGAAAGAGAATTTGAAAATATTTGTTCAAAATATGCCTTTGGCATATTAGCTGAGTGACAATGAACAAGTCACTGAATCTGACCTAATTCTCTCAGATGAAAAATTATCTGAATTGGTATGGTAAATTCTAAACTAAAAGCAAACAAAATGCAGTCCAAGCCTCTGTATTTGGTCTACTATATTCAACCTTGAGGTGTAATGTTAGGTGTCAAGTATTGTATTTATGGTATTCATGACTTGGGTTCAAGTGAAAAATTTGCCTTACTATCATATATTTCCTATTAAATGGATGGGACAAGTCATGTCAGTATTTCAACCTCCCAGTTAGTGATAGCAATGCAATCTGATTGATATTTGCAGGAATGTGAAAGTTGTTGAATGAACTTTTAGAAATGATATCATAAAAATGCTTTGCCCTTTAAATCATAAAAAAAACCCACCCTTTTGGGACCCACACTCCCAACCTCCAAAAAAAGAAAAATAAACAAAGAATGGACTTTCTCAAAATGGTTTATTTCATAGGCTTTGTAGTTATTTATTAGCAATAAATATTTAAATCTCCTTATTTTAGGACATAAATAGAATTAAGAACAATGTGTATTTTTACACTAAACATGACAGTATGCCATACAAAGAAGACATTAAATGTCTATGGGATAATTAGAACGTTACAGTTCTCAATACTTCAATATAAATACATAGTTAACAGACAATGTCAAATAGTTCTCATAAATAATGCTTGTGGTCAGCTCCCACATGAATGTGTGAGCTCATTCTCACTCAAATCACAACCCTCTTTTAAATAGATAAAAAAAGAAATGATTCTGAAAAAAGTTCAAAATATCACACTTAAATGAAATATACAGCACATGAAGGAAAAAAACTGAAATAATTGGTTTTGTAAAAAGTGAAGACAGTGTAAATTTAACAACTAGTTTCTATCACACTTTTTAAAACAAACAAAATAAATAAAAGCATTGCAATAAAGAATTCACAGACAAATCATAGATGCTTGGAAAAGTACAGGGACTCTTCTGGCTCTTGAGACCCATGTTCTCAAATTGGAGTTGCTTAGACATTGCAAGAGGCCATCTTCTCTTTTGAAGGTACTAATTGGAGCTGTTAAAAAGAAAAAGTAGTTGATATTTAATTAACAATCTATAACTACAGACATTTCCTGAGATCTTGAAGGAAACTAGGATTCTCCGGATATGGGCATAAACCCAACCTGACTGCAGCTTGGTCTACACCCTCATAGTAAAGCAAAGAAAACCCATCGAATAACCCATTTGGGTTGATTAGTACGGGCTTTTTTTTCCCCAAAAAGATGTGTCTTGAATCTTAGAAAATTTAGGTTTTTAAAGTGTGATTGATTTTTAAAAGACACTTGCCAATTCTATTTCACATGTTGGCAAGTAGGCAGCCTGGCAAAGCCGATAGTGAGCTAAACTTAAAGCCAGAAAAACTTGAGTTCATGACCTGCTTGTGGCACATGCTGGCTGTGTGACTTCTGGCAAGTTACTTGGCCCCTCAGAGCTCTAGACTATCTTCTGAAATCCTAAACTGAAGACGTGCCCACCTGCGTTGGTAAAGGGAGTTTCTTCCCCTGGCAGTTTGTGGTACCAATGGAATCATAGGACTAATGCCCATCACTATGGTATCAAATATAATGACAACATTAATTTGAATTTGAGGGTGGAATTGTGAAAAGAAAGAGTGCATTGGGTTCAAATAGAAACTATCGATTTAGACACTTTGTCAGTCCTGAAAATAAAATCCTGACTTCACCTCTTTTAAAGGGGTTAGAGTGGGAGAAGATAGTTTGGGCACCTATCTAGATGTAGCAAACTGATAATTACCTTTTCAGCACTTTCTCCACTATTTTCTTAACTTGGGGGGCCGCGGGGTTAAGGCAAAGTTCATTTCCATTCTTCTGAGTGGCTCTGCAAAGGAGAAGAGAGAAACCATGAGGAAACGATTCCTAGGAGCAGAAAGGGCTGAATTGGTGAGGACAGAGGGGGACTGGACGCAGCAGCTGGCTGAGCCAAACTTACATGACTTCGAGGTTGGAGCAGTGGGGACCGGCTGGGATCACCTTCAGGTTGGCGATGGTCTTGTAGGGAACTCCCTGCACGGTCTGCAGACACTGGCAACGTAGCTCATTGGCCACGGGCGCTCCTGAGGCCGAGAAAACGGAGATAACTGTTAGGGATCATAGGAATGGGGCAAGCACCGCACCTCACCACGCTTTTGTCCCTATCGCCTCGAGTCACACCTGGGTTCCTAGCCCCGTCTCTGCAGGGGCACACCCGATCCCCGTCCCCGCCTCCGCTGGGGCACAGCTGGAACAGCAGCCCCAGCTGCAAAGGCGACTTCCCTCCAGCTCTTCCCCTAGGCTTCCCTCCCTCTCTTACCGCTGGCTAGCCGGACGGACTGCGTCAGCAGCCCAGAGAGCAGACACAGGAGGAAGAGACAAGAAATCTGGCGGAGACTGCTGCTCATGGTGGAGGAGTTTGGTGCGTGGAGCTCGGAAGAGGAGAGAGCGAGGGCTAGCTGTGCCGAGACTCTTTGGTGCTGTGACTCCCCATGCTCCATCGACTGATTTTATCCACTGGGGTCCAGGTCCGGAAGCGGGAAAACCTACTGCCGGGAAATTCCCTGTCCCCTGTGCCATGTCCTGACTCAGGAAGAAAGGCACAGAGCCCGCCCCCCGCGGAGGGGGGTGGGCTGGCTGCCAGCCAGCCCTCCCTGCTCAGGCTCGGGCTCCAGGGCGTGCCTGCTCGGGTTTAGGCGAGCGAGGCGCGCAGGGATAATCCAAGTAGAAGGAGAAGGTAGCCGTCTGAATGTTGTCTCTTGGCCGGGAAGAGAGCCAAAGGTGTGGGGGTCCTGGGATGGCAAGTGGGAGCTGGGATGGCTTCACTGTGTTCGGGGTTCAGTAGCCATGGCTCGTCCACTTTCCCCGGGAAGTGTATTTGTATTCGCTCTCAAATTTGTAGACGGGCGGCGAGAAAAGGAGGCAGGCACGAAATTCTCTGGGGGCCAGAAGCATTCCGCAGCTGGTTGGTGCTGCAGGGGTCTGTGCCAGTTTATCTGGGTATTTTACAGAGGTCTTCGTGTGGACTAAATTCAGGGTTAATAATCCAGACAGTGCCACTTAGAATTACAAACAGAAAATCGGGCTTGGGGTTTACGCTGTAGTTGCAAAGAAGACTCCTCTGTCATATATCAATCAACAAACCACAAAAAGGAGAAGAGCGGACAAACATTTATGAAACACCTACTATGTGCCAGGCACTATGCTAAGCGCTTTATAAACTTCTCATTGGAGCCCAGAACCTTGGAAAGAAGGTGCTTTTATTACCCCCATTTTACAGTTGAAGAAACGGAGTCACAGAGGTTAAGTGACTTGCCCAGGGTCACACAGGTAGTAATTGTCTGCGGTTGGATTTGAATTAAGTCTTCCTGACTCCAGATTCAGGTGCTCTATCCACTATGAAGTGCCTGCTGTGAGCAGGGTGAAAATGACAGTCCCCACTCCCTAGGAGATGACATGTACATGCTTTGTGACTGTGTCTTTCAGAGGGAATTTAAAACAATATGGTATTTCTAGGTCTTTATCAATGTAAGGCTTCTAGGGGTCTTAGGTTATAGGAAAGTTTATGTTTTTACATGTATAAACAAGTAATCTACATAGATATATCATCTGACATGGTTCATATGTTTCTCTGAATGGCTTCTCTTTATTACTTTGTTTCTGCCTCTGTCTGTCTGTCTCTCTCTCTCCTTATCTATCTATCTATCTATCTATCTATCTATCTACCTATATATCTTCTGTCTCTATTTCTCTGTCTCTGTCCCTCTCAGTCTCTCTCTTTATGTCTCACTCTGTTTCTCTGTCTCTGTCTCTCTTTGTCTCTGCCATTTCTGTTTCCTCTTCTCAGTCTCTCTCTGTCTCCCTCTCTTCTCTCCTTCTGTCACTGTCTCTCTTTCTGTCTCTGTGTCTCTATGTCTGTCTGTCTGTCTCTCTCTCTGGCTCCCTGAATAGGAAAAGGAACAGGGATATTTTCAAAATGAAGATGAGATAGAAACAAGTGAAACGAATATACATTTTATACACATAAGGATCGAAGATATTACTTTTCCACTCAGAAATACTATAGCACAAGGTGATGGTGCTGAGTTCATTGTTTATTTTAAGATTAATGTTGTAATACGATCTCTTTGCTGCAGAGCTTCCTTTATGAAAAAGTGGAATTTCCAGCATAGGAGCAGGGGCCAAAGTTGTCTTAGGAATGTACAGGACTGAGTTGGTATTTTACAATGATTACAGACCTTCTGACCTAAAACTAGAAGTACCATATTTCAGCAAATAGGATTATATGAAGTATATTGACATGCTGTCACACACTTCATTAGTTGCTAAGTAGGGAGAAAGAACCTGTTACTAGAACTGGGTTTAAATCCTGCCTGCCAATGATACTCAGTACCTAGGTTACCTTGGGCAAGTGAGTTAACCCACCTGGCCTTCAGTTTGATGTTCAGTCATGTCCATTTCTCCATGACCCAGTTTGGGGTTTTCTTAGCAGAAATACTAGAGTGGTTTGCTATTTCCTTCTCCAGCTCATTTTATAGATGAGGAACTGAGGCAAACAGGGTTGAGTGGGGCAGTTAGATAGCACAGTAGATAGGGCACCAGCCCTGAAGTCAGGAGGACCTGAGTTCAAATCCAGCCTCAGATCAAACATTTGATGCTTACTAGCTGTGTGACTCTGGGCAAGTCACTTAACCCCAATTGCCTAAAAAAAAAGGGTTGAGTGACTTGCCCAGGGTCACTTAGCTAGTAAGTGTCTGATGCCAAATTTAAATTCAGGTCTTCCTGACTCTGGGCACTGTGTTCTATCCATTGTGCCACCTAGCTTCCTTGGCATCAGTTTACTCATCTGTAATATAAACGGCTTGGACTAGCTGTCCACCGAGGTTCCTTCCCACTCTGGATCTATGATTACCTGCCCAAATGACTGGAGGCCATATTTTATGATTAACTTGCTCAGCGCTTTTCATTTTTCTCCTTTTGGAAAGAAATGTTAGAATACCTCAATTCACCAAGCAGGTTGTGTTTTCTCAAGAATGCGTTGCAGAAACAAACACCCCCAAGAACACTCAGGTACAAGAAATATTATTCCTTCTCTAGTAAAAGGGCCAGCAGCAATCCTCCCTGTACCCAGGAGTTAGAACCATGATGAAGACTTTAGAGCCAGGATTGCAGGCAGATAGTGCAGCCAACCAGCCCAGCCTGGAAACCCTGAGAAGCCTGGAGGCCTGGGACTCCAGCCCCAGGAGGGTTTAGACTAGCAACTGGTACATACACTATAGGAAATGAGCTATACCATGAATCTAAGGCTCCTGCCCCTCCACAGAGACAGAGGTGGCAAAAGGCGAGGGAAGAGGAGGATTCTGTCTCATGTTGTGGGAGTAAGTCTGTATATTTATGATTATACCTTTTGAAGCAAATATTTCTTGTGAAAAGCTTTTTTGTTAAAGAATGCACTACAGGGAGCAGCTAGACAGCACAGTGGTTAGAGCAATAGCTCTGGAGTCAGGAGGACCTGAGTTCAAATCCGACCTCAGACACTTGACACTTACTAGCTGTGTGACCCTGGGCAAGTCATTTAAACATGATTGCCAACACACACACACACACACACACACACACACACACACACACCCCAAAAAAAAAGAAAGAAAAAGAATGAATTATACAGTATGTATGCCATGAGGCAAATAGAAGGCATGATGTGAAGAACACTGGAACTAGAGTCAGAAAGATTTGAGTTCAAATCAAACCTCAGACACTTACATGTCATGTGGCCCTGGGCAAGTCATTAACCTGTTTCAGTCGAGTCAAAAGTTTTTACTAAGCATCAGTACCAGGGATACAAAAAAAGGCAAAAACATGGTTCTAGCCCTCAAGGAAAAGCAGAAACATGCAAACAACTAAAGAAACAAGAAATATACAGGATAAATGGAAGATAATTTCAGAAAGATGGCTCTAAGATTAAGGAGAACTGGGAAAGAATGTACAATGCCCTGGGTTTTGTGACTGAGACTTCCCAAAGAGATCTGCTATTGTATGGCATTTGGGGGTGATAACAATGGAAGGTTTTTGTGGGTTTATGGTTGTAGATAAATGCTTTGTAAACTCTGAAATGCCATGTGCTGTTGTTATTCAGTCATTTTAGTCACATCTGACCCTCCATGACCCCATGTGGGCTTTTCTTGGCAAAGATACTGCAGTGGTTTTCTCCTTTTCCTTCTCCAGCTCATTTTACAGATGAAGAAACTGAGACAAACAGGGTGAAGTGACTCGCCCAGGGTCACAAGTTTCTGAGGCCAGATTTGACTTCATGAAGACAAGTATTCCTGACTCTAGCCCTTGCACTCAATGCTGTGTAAGTGTGAATTATTATGAATATTATCATCATTGTTATCTTGTTCTCAACTGTATGGACAGGGATCAGACAGTAATGGTCAAGTTGCTGTCCTGCTAGTATTCTTTCATATTTAATGCTCTACAAGCTATTGTCAAGGTGGATACAATGCTTTTTGTGACTGAATGAAAATATAAGCTTATGTTCTTTTTTGTTTGTTTTTGCTAGGCAATGGGGTTAAGTGACTTGCCTAGGGTAATGCAGATAGTAAGTGTTTAATGTCTGAGGCCACATTTGAACTCAGATCCTTCTGACTTCAGAGCCGGTGCTCCAACCACTGTGCCACCTAGCTGCCCCCTAAGCTTATGTTCTATAGGAAGGAAACAAGTATTTATTTATTTAAGTACCTACTATGTACCATGTACCATGCTAAGTGCTTTATAAACATTATCTCATTTTATCTTCACAACAATCCTTGGAGCTAGGCCCTATTACAATTTCTACTTTATAGGTGAAGAAACTAAGGCACTCGGAATTGCCCAAAGTCACAGCTGGTAAGTGTCAGAGGCTGAATTTGAACTCAGGTCTTCCTGACTTAGAGGCAGCTAGGTGGTGCAGTGGATACAGTGCTGGGCCTGGAGTCAGGAAGACTCATCTTTGTGAGTTCAAATCTGGCTTCAGATACTTACAAGCTGTGTGGCCCTGGCCAAGTCACTTAACTCAGTTTCCTTACCTGTAAAAGAAGCTGGAGAAGGAAATAGCAAACCACTTCAGCATCTTTGCTGAGAAAACCCAAATGGAGTCATGAAGAGTCAGAAATGACTAAAAAATGACTGAGCTTCCTGACTACATTGGGCCATGAGCTGCCTCTATAGAGTCACTGAAAAGCAGCCTTGAGATAACTCTTGCAGCAGACAGACATGATCTACACCTTATTCTGTTCCAAATAGTCCCAGTTGCTTTCCCCAGGTCTCTATGTTTTGAAAGTTTCCATAGAATCGGAGATGAGTATTTTATATAAAGACATCTAGTAAAAAAAAAAAACATTGTTCTTATATGTTCATAGATGAATGTCATGTCTGGGCAGAAGTAAGTAGCAGTTGTCTGTAACAATCCTTCTGATCCCAGTACAGCTTATTTGCTAAATTCTCAAGGATTTTTTTTCTTTATTTCATTGGTTACCATGGCCAAAAAATGGC